AAAAAAAAAAAAAAAAAAATCTGCCTGAAGCTAAATTGAAGAGTTTTGGATTAGTTGTCTTGGCAGATGGAATTTCAAAACAGCCTAGTATTGACTCTGCTGCCTGTCTGTGTTCACTCTTTTGAAGAGTCTCTAAGCTGAGCAAGAAAAATATAAAATGTACAGTTCAAGGAGAAAAGGGGCACTAGGAAGCTGAATCCTGTGTTCAAGGAAATAAACAGATTAAAGAAAAGACCTCATGTTAAATGGTATAAAGGGAGTGGTGGCCTCAGGGCAAGATTCCATTCAGCTAAGCTTCCAATTTAAATTAGAGGCATAAAGAAATTAAAGAAAAGCTCAGAGCCTGGTGTGGTGGTGCCCACCTTTAATCCCAGCACTTGGGGAGTCAGCTGCAGGCATATATCTCTGAGTTCAAGGCTAGCCTGGTCTACAAAGTGAGTTCCAGGACAGCCAACCACAGGCAGTGTTGGAAACCATTGAGAAACAACCAAACAAATAAATAACTAATGAAGATGTAATTGAACAAGGGGGTTATGTTCCAGCCCCAGCAGAACATGGCTTCTTTGGCCACATGGTTCTGGCTTTAGAGTCAAGGACAGAAGAAAGGGGATATGGAATCTCCCTCAGTGACTAAGCCAGGTGTGTGGCAGAGGTATCCAGGGGGACATTTCCAGAGAAGATTAAAGGAGGAAAGATCTACCCTGATTGTGCACCATAGCATATGCTCAGGGTTGAGATACAATAAAAGGGTTTAGAAAGGAAGAAGTCAGCTGAGTGCCAGCCTTCTCCTTGCTTCCTGGTCTTCTGTCCTCCCATGCCCCACCACCATTCTGGATGGTACTCCTCTGAAACTGTGAGCCAAAGTAAACCCTTGCTCCCTTAAGTTGTGTCTGTCAGGCATGTTAGTCACTACAGTATAAAAGTAGCTGTGATGGCAGCTTAGAAGGCAACTAAGTGTGAAACTGAAATGTTGAAGTGCATTTATCATGTAAGATGTTTGCTGACCCTAACACTGAAGAGGGATAGAGTCTCTGTGGGTATCTAGTTTCCTTCAAGGTCCAGCTAAGAATGCCTTTGTAAAATCCAGCATTAAAAAAGAACCCTGTTAAGTCACTGAACTTGGCAAGGTTGGCTACACCTTTATGGTTCTACCTCAGAGGCATGTCCACTCTTCAGCATTGTCATAACTTAGTTCTCAGGGCTCTTAATGGCCTCTCTCTTCCATTAGACACACCACTCCATGACACCAATGATACACTGATTGGAACTGGTAAGGACTATCTTCCTGAGACATTATGTGTTCAGTTACACACATGTTGAGGTATCTCTTCTGAAGTGAAGAGTCTGAGAGACCAAAAGATTAAAAATTAGCAGCTATTATTAATTAAGGCCTGAACTAGGTAGGTAAAGAAATACAGTAATGTCCTGAGGGGAAGGGCCACCTCACTGCATTCTTTCCCCACCCACTAGAGATACAGTTGCTAGGAAACTGGCCCATCCCCCTAGGGAGGGACACCAGATCATTAATGGTCTCAGAACCTTCCTATAGCCAATCAATTAAAAATGTAGCATTTTGACCAATAGATGCTTGCCAGGCAGGAATCGCCCCTGCCTTGGGCATGCTGGGAGGGACCAAAATCTTTAAATCACCCAACTAAGCTGGGCACCCTTCAGTGGTGACGGGTATGGGCCCAAGCTGCAGTTTGTAATTTACAATAAAAAGAACCTCATGTATTTACAGTGGAGTCTAGTTATTCCTGGTCTTTTGGGGTTCGTGAACTGGGCAGAACACTATCTTTCCAGGCCAGTTCTATTTTGGGGTCCTGTGCAATCTAGTTACCCTGTGGATCAAGTTGTTTGCCATAAACTGGATGTTATCTGATCTACCATGACCTGAAATTTGACCAAATGCACTCATCAAATGGAAGTGGTGCATATGGTTAGGCTCAGGAAGGTATCAGGAAGTTATTCAAGAACATGTTTTAAACACTAATGGTCCTTGATTTGCACACTAGTTTTTTTACCTTTCCATATTTCCACTGTCATTTAACTAAGACATTTAGATGGTCAAGAATGCACTAGGAATAAATTTGTGCTTGATTTTTTAACCCTATCGGCATCTTTTTCATTTTTTAATCAATCTGTTTTTTGAGACAGGGTTTCTGGCTGTCCTGGACTCGCCTTGTAGACCAGGCTGGCCTCAAACTAAGAGATCTGCCTGCATCTGCCTCCCAAGTGCTGGGACCACAGGTGTGTGCCACCAGTGGGCTCCTCTATCAGCATCTTTGAAAAAATGTTTTCAGGGGCTCAGTAGGTTAAAAGCACTTACTGCTCTTCCAGAGGAACTGAATTTGGTTCCCAGTACCACTATTAGACCGTTACAGGGAACCTGATACGCTCTCCTGGTCTTCACAGGTCAGCACACATGGCAAATGTACACACACATCAGATGGCAAATGTGGCCTGAAACTTTTCACAAGTTCATTTAAAGTCTTTGAAAATGGCATAACTTTCATGTGTCTCCTTGTATTTCATGACATCTGAGGGCTCTCTGCTCAAGACAGCCTTGAAACTATAGGTAAGCTACCACCCGCTCATCCAACTTAGTGCTCAGATTTCCTGAGAGCCTAAAGTTGGTCCAGCAGTCTATGGTCAATGCTGAATTAGAGAGCTAGGCAAAGAAACTTTCTGTCTCTGACCCAGGAGGGCAGCTCAGCAGGTCAAGTCACTCTCTGCTCTCCAAGGACTTGTTGCCAACAACCTGAATTTGATCCTTGGCACCCACATAGTGGAAGGAGAGAAATGACTCCCACAGCTTGCTCTTCAGTCTCCACGTACATTCACACATGCCCCCACAGAATAATGTAATACAAAATTTTAAAGAAATTTAGGAGCCAGGCACGGTGGCACATGTCTTTAATTCCAGCAGTGGAGAGGCAGAGGAAGGCAGATCTGTGAATTTGAGGCCAGCCATCTACTTAAGAGTTCTGGGAGAGCCAGGTAGAGACTGTCTCAAAAGAATAAATGAATATCCTTTCTTAGAAAACTATTTGGTAGATGGTTATGAACAAAGGTTACCTCATAGTGTCTTATCCCTGTTCCTCATCACCCACTTTCTTCACAATAGCTTTGTGGCTCTGGTAATTATTTCACTAGCTCATCACCTTCATTTCCTTATTTGACTGAGGACAAACAATGGGTCTTATACATAGAAATGCATGTATATTTGGCCCACATAATGCAGGACTATTTTTACACACACACCTTCAGTTTATGTGCATTGGTGTTTCCCTGCTTGTATGCCTATGCGAAAGTCTCAGATCTTGGAGTTACAGTTGTGAACTGCCATGCGAGTACTGGGATTTGAACCTGGGTCTTCTGAAAGAACAGTCAGTGCCCTTAACTGCTGAGACATCTCTCCAGCCCCTATTTTCACTGTATTTTAAATAACAAAAATACTGCTGTGTGTGGTGGTATACAGTTTTGGTCCCAGCACTTGGGAGACAGAGCAGGTGGATTAGTTTTTTGGCCAGCCTGGTCTACAAAGGGAGCTCCAGGACAGCTAGGGCTATGTACAGAGACACTGTCTTAAAAACAAACAGCAAAAACCCAATCAACCATCAAAAAACCCACCTTTTATTCACACTTATTGGCCACATAACTATGGTAGTCTATTTTATTCCCTTCCAAGTTTATTTTTAATTCAGGGTTAGGTTACTGACATTCATTTGGCCTAGAGACTTCTGGTCTGTCTTTCACTCATGACGCCTCAGTCATCTTTCAAAGCCAGAAAACACCTTCTGTGGCCTCCCCTGATTTTTCACATACCTTGAACACATTTCTCCATGTTACCAAATACCTGAGATGTGTCAATCACAACTGCCAATTATTGCCAATACTGGGAAGGTTGAAATTTCCCAGGACACTTGGGTAGAATGTTGGCTGGCAAACCACCTGCATCCAGCCTTTTCTAGAACTATGAGGCAGTATTGTGGTCGTCGCTCGCAATGTGGGGAGGCATCTCAGAGCTTGCTCACCCCTAGCCCTCTTCTAGTCAGGAAAGCAGCCTAACACATAAAACCTGCACATGCCATTCTGCACGTCTGCATACTTTCTTGAAGAACGGTTCTCAACCTGTGGGTTGTGATTCCTTTGGCAAAGCTCTATCTCCAAAAACATTTACATTATGATTCATAATTGTAGCAAGATTACAGTTATAAAGTAGCAACAAAAATAACCTTTTGGTTTTGGGGGTCTGTGTCACCAAAACATGAAGAACCAAATTGAAGGGTCTCAGCAGTAGGAAGGTAGAGAACCACTATGTAAACTACTTTTTCTTCTGGATTTGTCAAATTTTGCTGGGTATGAGACTTGAGATTTGGCATAACAACACGCTTGTTATCTTTTTTCTTAGAGGGTGAGGGAGGAAGACCATGGGTTTACGGCCAGCCTGGGCTACATAGTAAGACTCTGTCTCTAACAATAACATGCCATGTACTTTAAAAACAGCTAGAAAAGTTCAACAAAGTGATGAAATATTTGAGGTGAGCTTTTCACTCCTGAGCATTTCATATGATACATGCAGCAAAACATATTATATTGTATTTTATAAATATATGTAATTATATGTCACTTGAAACCAGTGGGACTGGCAAGATGTCTCAGTAGTAAAAGGCGCTTTTGGCCAAGCCTGACAACCCGATTTTGATCTCAGACCAAGACTGCAGAAGAACAGAATACTCCAACTTGTTCTCTGACCTCACACAAGTATTGTAGCACGCATGCTACATGTACCGCCCCCCCCCACAAGACAACAATTATCCCATAAGGTAGCTTCACTTACACACACCTGATCTGAGAGCAACTGAGGTAAAAATCTATGCACCCTCAAAACCAGAAGGCACCAGAACACCTGTCCCTTTTCTCTGTGGTAGGACAACACCCTGAGGCAGTCTTTAGTCCCAAACATTTGTCAACACATCACACAGGCGTCCCACCTATACAACTCAACAAAAATTTATTTTTAAAAGGTAAAGAAAGCTTTATACATCCTTTATAAAACAAATATTCCAGACTTAGAATTAAGCAATGAGTGTTCAATATTATAAAGCTGTTTATAACAGGAGTTTTAAGTAGTGGTAACATTTAACCTATGTAAAAATGTCATAGAATTCAGATCATGACTTGGACCTTCAATGATTCAAGTACTATGGTCTCACTCACAAGGGTTTGGTCAGTTTTAAGATAAATGCTTTAAATGTAGTGTCCATAAGTCCTTAACTACCACTGCTCATCACTTCACGCTAGGGTAGCTGGCTGCAGTGGCAAGTCCACAGTGGTTGTTCCTGTCTTTGGCTATTTGGATGTAGCCTTCCATACCCCATTCAGGGCCCCAGCTGAAAGAGATTCAAGGAAATATAACAGTGGTTAATAATTAATACTTAAAAAAACAGGACTGTTCTTACCACGAGTGCTCTAAGACCTACACATAAAATACACAGAGTCCATCTCTGTGGGTCTTTAACTGCAGAAGCTGAAGGCCGACGCTGGTGCTTTCCCTTCTCTTTCTCTTACTTTTTTGAGCTAGGGTTTCCCACTGAACCTAGAGCTCACAGGGCCCCTACCTAGAACTGGGTTCAGTAGTATGTTGCAGCTTGTGGCTTTTATGTGAGTGTCAGGGATTCAAACATAGGTCCTCATGACTAAGTGGCAAGTACTTTATCCACTAAGCGATGGCCCCAGCCCCTCACTTATTCTGAGGCAGGGTTTTGTGTAGCAAAGGTTAGCATCACCAATTCTCTAAAAGCATGACGCTGAATTCTTGACCCTTCTACTTGTACTGTTGGGATATGGGCACGCACCATCACGCCAGGTTGTATGGAGCGCTGGGGACTGAGGCCAGGGGAGAGAGCACATTCCAGCACTTTATTACACTTTAATAGTTACAGCCTTAGCACCCTCAGGTTTGAAGAGGAAAATGAGGTAAACTAGGATTTTAATAGAACACTGTCTCCATATTCTATCTCAATGAAAGGCATTCAGTTGTAAAAACTAATCCTGACAGGCTTTAAGACTTCTGAGCGCAGAGAGCAAAACGCAAATAACACTGGAACACACACAAGCTCTAATTTCTGCTTGCTAACCCCTGTTGAAAACTAGAGAAAGGCAAAGTAGGTGGAATCAGATAGCCTTACTGAAAATTTGGAAGCCAAATTTGGAAAATTCAGCATTACAGATATGTGTCTCCCCAACAAGCTTACATCAGAATCTTCAACACAAATCTTTCACTCTAAATGAGAAAGGCTTCCAGGATTTTAAAATGTAAAATTTGTGGACTTGCATTTAAACACTGATACCACACAAAAGAATTCTCTTTTCAATTTAAAAATCTAACATTTAGAGTCTTTTACCTGTTCTTGACAAGCCAAAATTTATTCTTATTTGAATCTGTTCCTTCAAATCCATAGCCAACCACCAGAACCCCGTGGTCCAGGTCCTTGCTGCTACAGTTGGGTTCATAGTAGATACCTGGCAGAGTTACATGAACAATGAGTGAAAGGTTCTAGTCACCACAGGACAGAGACCCACCCTATTCCCCACAAAATGTCACACAGCCCAAATTCTGCAGAAGACACTAGTCAGAAAATAATCCTGGCTGTGTGGTACACACCTCAATATCTGCACTTGAGAGCTAGACAGGTCTCTGAGTTCCAAGCCAGCCAGGGTGACAAAGTGAAATCCTATCTTGGTATTTGAGACAGGGTTTTATATAGTTCAAGCTGCTCTCTACCTTGCTACATAGCCAAGGACGGGCTTGTGCTGATCCTCCTGCCTCTGCCTCCTAAGTGTTGAGATTACAGAAATGGACCATCATGCCTAGTTCATGTGGTGCTCAGATGGAAGCAGGGCTTGAAAAACGGTGGGTAACACTATCAACTGAGCTACATCCTCACTCCCCTTAAGAACAAATTCTAGTGTTTGAAAGCCTGCGGTGACATGATCCATACTCTAGCCAGCACACCAATAACCATAACCCCTGCTACTCATAAATCTAAAGAAAAACCTTATTGTCAGGCAATCACTCCTTCTTTCTCTCCTCCCCCTACATCTGCATCACAGGTTCTTTAATGTCCTAACTATAGCAGTAAAAAAAAAAAAAAAAAAACCTTTTGGAAAAAGATTCAGCTGTTGGAGAAGAGTTAAGTAAATTAGGTTCTATATAGAATACTTCATAATATTTAAAGAACTATTTCAGATGGTGAGGTGGCTCAGTAGGTAAAGGTGCTTGTTAATAAGGCTCAGGGCTGGAGCTTGATTTGGGGGCCACACACTGGGGAAAGAAATGGCTCCTGCCAGTCCTCCAGTCTCCACATGCATGCATAACTGCAGTAGAAAACTAAAAAAAGGAGGGTCCTGGAGAGGTGGCTCAGCGGTTATGTGTGCTCACTGTTCAAGACCCAAATTAGTTGCTTACAATCACCTTTTAGTCTAGCTCCAGGGGGTCTGATGCTTCAGGACCTGAGGACACCTGCATACACACCTGTCCCTCTCCCCCAACATAATTAAATCATCACCAAAGTCGGGGTGGCAGTGATTCTGACAATTACCAGATTTATAGAACTGCATAGTTGGGTGGCTTGCATCCATTGCGGCCGAAATAGGCCCCACGGTTGCCACAGCCTTCATGAGGGCCCTCTCTTCTTGAGGGATATCCACGAATCCTGTGTCATTAGCCACAGCAAACTCAGGTTTGTATTTACAGGATCCATCCTTTGAAAGTTAAAGGAGAGAGTTGATCACAACCTTTTAGAACATGAGTGCTAGAAAAAAAAAAAAACCAAACAAAAACTACTCTGATTTGTAGCTCACAATGTCAGGTCAATACTCAAAAACCATCCCTTGAAATAGAATGCTGTTAGTTACCCACTAAATATCAACCCTGAAACACACATCTGGTAATGTTTCTTTTCCTGAAAACAAAGCTGGAATGAAACAAACCAATTACCTTTGCTTCATAGGGATAGGAGTCCCCTGAGTCCAGACCTCCATTTTCCTTAATATACTGGTAAGCATAATCCATCAGGCCACCATTGCAGCCCTGATTGCCTTGAGGGCGAGAACAGTCCACAAGGTTCTGTTCACTCAGGGAGATCAGTTGACCAGTCTTAAGGAACATCTGTCCTTCTAGGCACCCCGTTGCGCTAAAAGCCCAACAGGAACCACATTGGCCCTGAAGAGAAAAGGTGAGTGGTTTATAAAGATTGTCAACAGCTTTTATATATGCATACTTTTTTGTTTGTTTGTTTTTTGAGACAAGGTTTCTCAGTGTAGCCCTGGCTGTCCTGGAACTCACGCTGCAGACAGAGCTAGCTTCAAACTCAGAGACCCCCCTGCCTCTGCTTTCCAAGCACTGCGTTTAAAGGAGTGTGCCCTGCCTGGCATACTTTAAAAGACAGAAAACAGGAAGCTGGGTGGGCAATGCATGCCCACATTCATTTGGAAGATTAAGATAAGAAGATTCTGGGCTTGAAGCCAGGCTGGGCTGTTTCATTCATACTCCAAACGTATAAGATACCAAGGAGCAGACAGAACAAAACACTGTGGGGTCAAGAGAGAACAGAGGGTCACATGAGGCTTGGCCCCTCCCACTAAAACAGTTGATGCTGCTGGGGAAAAAAAAAAATCATTCTCTATAGTGATGTTGTCAGTGTTAAGCTGCCCACGCTCTGGTGGGTGGATAGCTATGTCACCTACGCCCATGGCAGGCTGGGTGGCCCTGGCTAAACTACATGGGCGACAAAACAAAAAGAAATGAGGGTGGGATGGGGACTGGCTGGGGGGAGGGCGGCAGCCACAGGTTGGTGTGGTTGAGGGATAGAAAACTGTCAGTAAGAGTAATAATGAACTGGCACGTCACACCACATCATAGCAAAACAAGCTCCAGTTCTTTAATGGCCTTTCTGTGGGAGAAGAAAGGTATGAGCCAGGCATGGTCACACCTGATTCTTTCTGGGGGAAGGGTTAGGCGTGTTATAGTCTGTGTTCCACTATCTACCTTGTTTCTGAGACAGGCTCTCTCACTTTTACCTAGAATTGATTGAGCCAGGCTGGTAGGCTGGTAATCCCACCTTGCCTTGGCTCCTACTTGTTGGCATTGTAAGTGCTACCCCACTGACACACACTCTCTCTCCCCCATCTCTCTTCCAAGTGTGGACTCTAGGGATTGAACTCAAGTCCTTATGCTTGTACAAATGAGACTTCTCCCGGCCACCATACCTGATTTTTCACAGGAGTCACACAACCTTTTTCTCTCCAGTCCACAGACTTGGGGGCCCGAAACAGCAGAGGTTCTTGAAACATCTTCCCCTTCTTGTGCTTCTGGTGCTGATAGCCATTCACCACCTGCCTGAACTCCTCATTGGTCTTCCAGGAAATGTAAGAAAGTTGAAAAGGTGAGACCGTTTTGTAAAAAGGAGATGGAGGGTAAGGTAAAGAGAATTGTCAACGCACCATGTCACCGAAGGCGTTCATCTGCATGGTGAAGCCGTGCTTCCCCTCACTGTATTCCCCGTTGTGAAGCCGGATCATTCTCATGTTCTTCTCCCACACGGCTCTCCTCCATTCTTCCTCATTCTGGAAGCAAATATGGAACTGTCAGTTTATCTTTTGTTAAAAAATACAGGGGAAGCCATATGTGCCGGAGGAGGCCGTTAACCCGTCCTGGACAGGCAGAGAGAGCTGGAGAGATGGCTGTGTGAGGACCACTTGTTCTTGTGGACCCACATACAGATCACAGCTATCCAGAGTGCACACCAGACCCCAACACAGTGCAAGCAGAACATACTCTGTGTGTGGGCCTAATGGACCAAGTGGACCACTGCAACAGGGAGAAACATACACCTTGAGAGGAATTCCTTCTAAAAACACACGATGTTTGTGCTCTACTTGGTTCACAATGGATGTATGATTGGGCTGTTCCTGCCAAGAGCTGGCTTTTAGAGACTACTCTGGCTATGAACTTCTGAGGGGGCGGGGAAAGAGAGAAAGAAAGAATGAATAATAAAAAAAGAAAAGCCTGGAAGGTGGCCCATGCCTTTAATAACAGTACTTGGGAAATAGGGATAGGAGGATGTGTGAGTTCAAGGCAAGCCTGGTCTACAGAGCAAGTTCCAGGACAGCCAGGGCTACACAGAGAAACCCTGTCTGGAAAAACCAACCAATCAACCAAACAACCAACCAACATTTCCAAGGGGGAAGAGGGCCATTCTCTCTAGACAATGCAAACACTACAAACCGTGCCATACAGTCTTCTGTGTGTGGACTTCCATTGGTGCCACTCTGCAGTAAGAGTTTGATCAAATTTTGGAGTGGCTAAGGTTGTTCCCAAGCAGAGGGCAGCAAGGAGGAGTAAAAGATTCATGGTTCAAACACCTAGGGAAGGAAAATAGGAAATGCGAGGCTTTTTCTTTCAAGGACAGTCTCAAGGAGTTCAAACCATTTAAACTTTTCCTTCGCCCCACCTCTCAAATGCAGGGATTATAGTCATAAGCCATCAGCCCAGCAGTAAAAATAGTTCATTTAAATAGTTACAACCACCTTATCAGAGTAGAAACATCTTCACACGTGTTAACAAGTGTGGGTGTGGGTGTAGAAATTAATCTTTGAATGTTGCTCGATTCAGTTACTGAATCGAAAACAGCCTACTAGGCAGGTGGCATAGGTGATAAACCCTTCTCTGTTATTACAGCGCCGAGGTAGTCCTGAGTCTCCAGTATCGTGTGTCAGAATCTTAAGGGGACAACTAGATCCAGGTCATTTACTGGCAATTAGGTGACCCCGAGTGGATGCACAGGAATCTCCAAAGACAGTGAAGTAATGCACAGTTGGAGATCGGTCCGAACTGCCGCCTCCAGGCGATGCTTCCTTGGGCGATCCCGGTTCAGGGCAGGGGCTGGGCTGATCCGGGCCAGGGGCTTGGCGTCTGCTCCGCCCGCGCAGCCACCGCCCACGAGTGTTATGGCGGCACAGGGAGCCCTGGGCCCTGTGACCAGCATCGGTCCGGGAAGGCAAGGAGTCACGTGGCCTGACGACGACCCCGCTCGGCACTCCAGGGAGGCCCTCCGAGGTCCTGGCCCACCCCAGGGTGCCCAATCCGGGTAGCAGATGCTGTACTCCCCGGACTCTAGTTTCTCCTTCCTAGCCCTGCCCGCCCAGGGTTTCAGCCCGCGGGGATCACTCACCTGAGGCGGCCGGCTGCGCGCACGGATCCCCGGGGGTCGCCGAGGTCCGGGACTCTGCCCCGGCAGCGCCGAGCTCCGGCTTTAAAGCCTCCTAGGCTGCGGCCCCGGCAGGGCCCGCCCCCGCCTCGCCATTGGCTGCGCCCGCCTCAGGGCGGAGCCTGCGGGACTCCAGGCACGTGACGCCGCCGGTTCCTAGGCTGTCCTGCTGCGGTGGTCCGCGGGGGCTTGAGGAGGGCCCTGGCGGGGTCGGCGTCCGCGTGCTTCGTTGGTTCGAGCAGATGGGCTGAGGAAAACGGGTCTGCCGCGGAATTTCCACCCCAATCCCACTTGTCCTTTAGACTTAAAAGTTGTGGATTAAAATCTGGAGGGTAGAGAGCATGTATAATCCTGTGGTTTCTGTTCAGCCCACAACAAAGCTGGGTTTAAGTGGAATGGAGACAGAGCTGAAGGCTCTGATAGAATTTAGAAATATCTAGAGATGGGAAAGCTAAATCCAGTAAGATGAGGCCATGGCCAGCACGTGGCTTCTCCAAACGCTGCAATTCCTTCCCTTAACCTATGTATTATATGTGTGTGTATGTATGTATATATGTATATAGATAGGGGTGATAGGGTTTCACTATGTAGACCCAGATGGGTTTGAACTCACAGGAATATTCCTATCTCTACCTCTCAAGTGATGGGATCAAAGGTTGCACTGTACCCTCACGAGATATCCTGACCCTGCCCACCTCAGTTTCCTCCTCCCAGCCTCCCTCGAGAGGAGTGATATTTAGTATGAAGGCTGTAGTTGTATAGCTTGAATAAATTATTTGGATAAAGAAAAAAAATACAGGTATAGGTAATATTTAAGAAAAATAATTCAAAAAAGTAATTTTTGTTTTTAGTCACATACAATTTTTTTCTATCGGTTCTTCTGTTTAGTAGTTTATTGAGTTGTATAGTCTTTGAGCTTGGTTAATTTTCCTTCCTTTCTTTCTTTTCTTTTTTTTTTCTTTCTTTTCCCCAAAGACAGGGTTTCTATGTGTAGCCTTAGCTGTCCTGGACTTGTTTGTAGACCAGGCTGGTATGGAACTCACAGAGATCCAACTGTTTTGCCTCCCCAAGTGCTGGGAGGAGGCATGTGCCACTGTGCCCTGCGCTTTTGGTTAATTTCAAAATGTGAATTTTTTTTAATTTGCAATGTCTTTTATAATAAAGTTTAAAATATTTTCTGTAGCCGGACTTGGTGGCACATGCCTGTAATCCCAGTACTCTGGGAGGCAGAGGTAGGTTGGGTCTCTGAATTAAAGGCCAGCCTGGTCTACAAATCGAGTCTAGGACAGCCAAGGCTACACAGTGAAAGCTTGCCTGAAAAAACCCAAATATATATATATATATATATATATATATATATATATATATATATATACACACACACATATATATACGTATATATGTATACATGTATACATATATACGTATATATATATATGTATGTATTTAATTAGTCAAGCAATCAATTAATTAATTAAATATTTTCCGAGAGTGTTTCTCTGGGTAGCTTTGGCAGTACTGGAACTTGCTCTGTAGTCCAGGCTGGCCTCGAACTCATAGAGGTCTGCCTGCCTCTGCCTCCCAAGTGCTGAGATTAAAGAAGTGCACCACCAGCACTTGGCCCTAAAATAATATACTATTTTAAAAACATTTTAAAAACTCATATTCAGGGCTTGGTGAGATTGTTCAGTGTTAAGGGTGCCTGAAGCCAAATCTGAGGACCTGAGTTCTATCTCAGAGACCTATATGGTGAAAAGGAGATCCAAAAGCTGTCCTCTGGCCTCTGTATGTGCTGTTGGCACATGTACACCTAAACAAAATGAGGCTCTTGTTGTTCTTGTTTTGTTTTTCGGGACAGGGTTTCTCTGTGTAACAGCCCTGGCTGTCCTAGAACTCACTTTGTAGACCAGTCTGGCTTGGAGCTCAAAGAAATCTGCCTGTCTCTGCCTCCTAAGAAGAGTGCTGGGATTAAAGGTGTGTGCTATCACCTCCAGGCCCAACACAAATGTTTTAAAATATCAATTTATTAGCCTTTTTTTATTGATGTCTTTAAATTGTAGAGAATCTGTTCTCTCTCAAGCTTGACTAGACTTAGAAGTTCTCAGATGATTAGATGATTAACAAAAAGCAGTGTAAGGCAGTGTAGCTTGTTGATGTACTTAGAAATGTGCTTTTAGTAATGATTGTGCTTCTTTTCCTGTTTAAAACATTTTTGTTTTAGTTATCGGTATGTGTGTGTGTGTGTTGTTTTTTTTTTTCAAATTCTTTCTTTCACATTAAAAAATATTTTTTTTAATGTTTTAGCTGCTAGGCAGTTAGTGGCACAAGCCTTTAAGCCCAGCACTTGGAGGGCAGAAGCAGGTGGATCTCTGCTAGTTCAAGGCGAGCCAAGGTCAGAGAACCTTTTCTAAAAAACAAAACAAACAGATTTTTTAAAAAATCCTTTCAATGGCAATAATCACAGTTTTCAAAACAGTCATTCATGGATGGGAATAAGCATTCTCCACTATGAGATGAGGAAGCACATTCAGAACATTCAGAAGGTGATGCTTTGGGGTGAGGGCGGGGACTTTGGGTATTCCTTGGTGGATTGGAGGCTGGGGCCAGGAGTGAGAAATGGAACATCTTTGTGATTGACTTGGGGACTTGGGTTTGGAGAACATACCTGCTGTTCCCTGGTGAGGCCAAGGTGGGAAGTAGAGGGAAAAAAATGAAGTCATCTGCTGTTGAGTAAGTTTTGCAGATTCAGAGCTCTTCACCCAGGCAATTGTTTCTTTTCTTCTATGGGTCAGAGATCTGTGGCTGCTTAGTTGTTCCACTATGTTTGTTTACACAGCCTATCACAAGCAATCTGAGTTATTTTAACACGTGGGTTTTACAGCTGCCTTCCGGCCATGGCTCCTAAGATTGCACTGGGTGGAAAAACCTGCCTCTGCTTTAAACTTCGTGCCTTGAGCAACAGCCTGGCAGCAGGCCTGGCAGAAGTGCCCTACAGAAGGCATCCTTTTGCCTTTTGGTATGTGGGATGGTTGCACTGAAGAAAGCATCAGTTCTTTTTATGATCCCCAAATCTAAACCTAAGCTGAAGCATGTCAACTGTAGAAAACATGGGAGACAGACAGTAGTTCGGGTCATTATTGTTCTAAGCCAGAGAGTCTATAGTGACCTACAGCTTGTTGATGCACTTAGAAATAGCACACACACCAATAACTAAGACAAAAATGTTGTAAACAGGAAAAGGAGCAGAATCATTACTGATAGCACATTTCTAAATACGTCAACAGGCTTGTGCTTTAACACTCTTTCTTGCCCCTTTCCAAGTTTTTTGATTTCCAATGATTTTGATTTGAAAAATAATCTTGATGAATACTAATTATTGAAAGTTATGTTTTAGTCATGTGGCTAAGCCCTAGCTCCATCTTTGATAAAGTACCGTTGGCCGAGTTCCCAACCCCTAGTTTTCTGACATGTACGTGCTGTGGAAGCAGTGGCACACTAAATGCAGTGATGAGTGTCATAGTGATGTCACTTTATATCAACCCCCAATGTAACCAACCCTCAAAACTTTTAAATTCACAAAGCCAAGATTATTCTTTAAAAACACTATCCAGACTGGAGACGTAGCTCAGTTAGTAGAGTGCTTGCCTGGCATGCTTGGAGCCCTGGGTTTGATCCTGAGTACTGCATAAACTGGCATAGTGGTACATGCCTGAAATCTTAGCTCTCAGGGCCTGGCGGCAGGAGAATGAGGCATTCAGTGCCATCTTCCACTCCACACGGAACTCAAGGCCAGCCTGGGACACAAGAGAAAAGGAGGATGAAAGAAACAATGTGTAGCTGTTCTCACACACTGGGAAGACCAGAACTGGATTCATTTTCTCACAGATAGAGAGGTCTGGAGTCTGAATTGGAGCCACTGGGCTGAAATCAAGGTGTCAGCAGCCCCTGCTGCTCCTTCGCTGACAGCAGCATGGCTCCAGCCTCTGTGATAGTGCTGCCTGCTCTTACCTGCTCTATCTTTCTCTTTGTCCTCCACAGACAGAGTGGCTGTGTCTGGGGCTCACACAGGTGATCCAGCAGAGACAACCTCTCCTTCCCTAGGTCCTTAGCCACGTTTGCAAAGACTTCACTGCAGAAGAAGATTTTCTGGTTCCGGGAATTAATGACTGGTGTCTTTGGCAGTTATGTTCACTCTGTCACATATCTTCCCTCCTTCTGCCTCTCCCTCTCTCCCTCCTTCTGTTGAAAGACCCCCTCTTTCACTGTCTCTCCCTCTCTCCCTCCCTTCCTTCCTTGAAAGGGCCTCTGGTATCCCAAGCTGGCCTCTCACTCCAGATGTAGCAGAGGATGAGCTTGCACTGATCTTCCTGCCTCTCCTTCGAGGTGCCCGGATGATAGGATGATAGCTGTGTGCCATCATGGTTGGTTTGTGTGGTATTAAGCACCCGGCCTTAGGCTTCACAAATGCTAGACAAGTACTCTGCCAAACCATAATCCCAGCCCCAGGCTCAGTTTTTGATAAATCTGAAGAACACTCTCTGCACACTATTATCTGAGGCTGTCCTAACTAGGACACTTTAGTCCCAGGCTCCACAGGAACTTCCCACGCTGTCACTTCTTTGTCCCATCTAAGTCTCAAGTCTGTGCCTTCTGTGCTTTAGAACAGACATTTTCTGCCTCATATTTCCCTTGCAATGTTTGACCCACTGTTGTGAAAAAGACTTTAAGAAATTTTTGGTGTGTGCACCTATATGTTCACAAGCATGTAGTTGTGCATGTAAAAGTCAGAGAACAACTGCAAGAACTGGGTCTGGGTGTCTTGTCTCACCACGTGGGTTCTGGGAATTAGACTCAGTTCTCTGGGCTTGGTAATGAGTGCTGGTGCCCACTGATCCATCTCGTAGCCAGCCAATGGCCCCTTGTTGTTGTTTGTTTGGTTTTGTTTTTTGAGACAGGGTTTCTCTGGTTAGCCATGGCTGTCCTCGAACTTGCTCTGTAGACCAGACTGACCTTGAACTCACAGAGATCCGCCTGCCTCTGCCTCCCAGTGCTGGAA